TTAATCAATTGCCTTAAAAGTTGTTGAAACTGATATGAGTTATGATGTTTGGCACATGACCAATTGAATGGGTCCCTTTTATGCACGATCTTGATCAGCCACAGGGTCCCCCGGTGGCAGAAATAGGTGGATACCCATGGAGAACTCTCTATTTTGATATGGGAAACGTTTTCTTTTCTCAATCTATTTGATACATCTTTTCTTATTATAAAGGAAGAGAGTTGAGTTTAATTAAAACTGGAAAAGGATAATTTGTTTGAATATGGACTTCCAAACCAAAGGATTGATATGACATATTGAGATGGATTCATCCAATTAGGGCCATTCTCTTCTCCACGCCTTGAATTTTCTTAAATTGCTAGGAATACTACAAGAAAAACCGTTTAGACCGACAGTTTAGAGCAGGCGGTCCTCATGACTGCCACTATAGTTATATCTGACCTAGCGGTCTTTAAAAGGCCGCCACCTAAACCAAATTAGAAACTGACATAATGATCTAAGAGATCAGGCAGACAGGCACGACAGTTTTAAAATTAGACCGGAAATTGAACCGGTCTAATCTCATATGGGAATAGGCATGCAGGAAAGTAAAAACTTAAAAAATACTCCTCCCACGCACACTCTTACTTCTTGTTCGACAAAAAAGGTTCTCTTAACGAAGAAGAAGAATAAAAACTTTTGCAGAGAACTTCTGACGATGAAGAAGAGAATTTTGACGAAGAGAGTGGAAAATTTTTTCGCAAACGGAGAATCATTGATCGACTGGGAGGGATTGACAAGAAAATCTAGGGCAAACAAGCGTTATGCGACTCCATACCAGCATCGAACCTTGTTCGTTGTTCTTTTGAGAAGAGGGGAGATTTCTTTCCTTTTCTATCGATTGGGAGGGACTGACAAGGAGAAGAGAGGTTTTCTATTGGGAGATATCCAAACCAACATCGATTCTTATTCCTTCGAGCAGGAGAAGAGAAGGTTTTCTATTGTTTTTTTCCTGGACACCTAATGGGCCTAATGTCAGGAGAGATAGAGAGGGGTTGTATGGAGCCTGATGGGTCTCATGTTTGGAGAGAAAAGAGAGTTTGTACGGGACCTTGTGTCATAATGGGGTGGAAGAGAGAAGGGAAGAGGGGGAGAGAGGTTTATGTGGAACCCGATAGGGTCTTGTGTTAGAAGAGAAAGAGGTGGAGATGTTGTGTGGGTTTTATTTTTTAAAAAAGGTTTTAGTTTAGTGAAAATAATTTATTTTTCTTTATTTCAAAAACCCGTGGGCAGCCTACGCAAAGTGTGGACCGTGCTGTGCTGGCCCATGGGCCATCATAGGCCATGCTGCCTTCCTCAGTGAAAATTTTGGGGGTCGGCCCGATACGGCCCATGGCTTGGGCCCGTGCCGCAGGTCGGGCTGACCCGTAGGTCGAGCCTTGGGCCAGGTCAGGCCATGCATCAGGCCAAAGCAATTTATTTAAAAAATTGACAAAAAACTTAAAATTTTAATTTTATATGAATTTTGTGTATAAAATTGTTTATATATGCAATAATTAGATAAATTAGTATAATAAAATTAAAAAAAATATTTATTTTATTAACATATTATATACTATATATTATTATGTAATTATAATTTATATAATATTATATAACTATATATAAAACATATATGGGTTGTGCTGAGCAGCGGGCTGGGCCGTGCCGGCCCGTAGACCTAAAACCCCTGGGTCCAGCACGGCCCATATGGTCGTACCAGGCCGTAGGTAGCATGGCCCGGTTTACACCTTTAATAAATGTACCCAAACAAAAGGTAAAAGACAAAAATATCCTTTAACTGTTTATTAAGTTCTCAAAATAGGTGAAGTTGTCAATGGTGTTCAAGATAGAGAGAGGGAGGGACGAGGCTGAGGGAGAGGAATTGCCACTGCTAGCTTGGTGGTAATAGAGGTGGACGAAGAAGAAAATGAAGATGAAGAGTGGTAGAACAGGGAAGGAAAGAAGGGGAAGGAGGAAAGAGAGAGAGAAGGGGATATGAGACCGAATATGCCACTACAGTGGCGGTGGTGGAACAGGGGAAGGGAAAAATGAAAAAAGAAGGGGAGGGAGGGAAAGAGCGGCAGAGAGAGAGAGATCTTGGGGGAAAGAGTGTCAGGAGACGACAAATATAATCGCCACCCCCAGTCAGACTCGACCCATCTTCAAGAAGATGGGAGTAGGAAGGAGTGTCAAAGTAAGCAGGGTGAGGAAGATGGGAGCATGAACAAGGAAGAAGGTCCAAAGGAAGTTCAAGATTAGAGGCTATACCTTGCAAATCAACGCCCTAGAAGAGATTCTCTTGTTCTTGAAATGCTGAAGACGAAGCCATCGACCTCCACATCAACAAAATCTAGAAGAAATCTCGTAAGTCACAATTACCCTCTTCCTCAAAACCATCAATCTTTTCATTTTCTCTTCCTTTAAATGGTTTTCGTTTAGTTTCCCAAGTCTGGACAAGGAGCCCGTGCAAAGAGTTGTAAACCTTTTATTGGAAGCATAATAGATGCTTTCTTCGTCTCCAAGTTATGATCCCATAAAAAAAGTCTTTTATGAGTAAGTCCCTTAATTCAATGTTTTTTAGCAGTACAGTTGGCCAAAAATTTGAATGTAGTGCTCAAGAAAACAGAAATAAAATAAAAATATAAACATGTTTTAGAATACTGTTATCAAAAGCCCATCTGGGTTTTGGTTTTTTGTTATAAGGGCAGTATTGGCATTATAAAAACATTTAGAGAAAGGTACTAATGGGGCCGATCAAAAAGGTATATATAAATAGAATTTGAAAGTTCAGAATATATTTAAAGAGTTCAATTTGGGTCAGTGTAAGCCTGTGCTCACATTGTTCTAACAACCTCTTCCAACCTTATATTAAGAATATCTTTCTATGAAATAAAATATATGTATAAAAATATTCTCAATACAAAGTTATAAATGTTATTATACACCCATAAAATTATTTATTTGAAAACTACTTTATCTTCATGAAAGTAGAATTCGACCTCAGTCACGACAAATTCTGATCAGGCAGCCTTTACTGCTTTGAATATTCTTAATGCAAGATTGAAAAAGGCTGTTAAAATGGTATGGGCATGGATTTGCCCTGACTGAAGCCGGACTCTGCAACGCAGGGGTCCTCGTGATATATAAAAACCACTCCGTATCTGCTACAAACGAAAACGTATACAATTGGCAACGTAATCAATCAAGAGTGAACATGCATAGCCCCGTTGTATACACTCGGATTCCCTCCCCAGTCCCCACCAAACTTTGCTGTCTCCGCATGCGCCTTGCAATACTGGCATCTTCCACATATTGGGTAATGGGAATATTCATGGCGAGATGTATGTACAATGGATGCCAAAGCTTTTAGAAAAGAGGTAATCATGAAAAATGGAAAAACCAAATCGAACTAATGATGTTTAACTGAGATTTTCGATTAAATTAAAGGGTTTTTAGCGGGCAACTTTTGGGGTTTAACTGATATGTTCATCTTCTTCTTCTTGTYATTGGTTCACCAGAGCCATCGTCCGTCGTCGCATCCGCCTTTGGCAACGTTGCTGGAGGTGGCCAAATGTCATGGTCTGATACAGGCTTAGCCTTGTCTATGCTTGGCAGGCTTACGTTAAGGGACATTACCGTCATTTTCGCTTTTAAGATTTTTAGGAGAATTGATGTTATCTTCAGGCAGACCACCAAAAGCTTAACGTACTCTTTGGTGGAGCCATCTCTTCCGCTACAGAACTATCCCCGTGACACAAAGGCAGAGGTGGCGGTGGCAGTGCTGTTGGTTTCTCTGTCCAATGCCGCCACCTCTARTGAACAAATGGAAAGAAGAAGAAAATGAACAATGTTTGTGCCCTTTATTGATATTATTTTTAATAAGTTAACGTATTTTTTATTTTTTTTAAATATATTACTTTTATTAAATCCGTAGTTAATCGAATCAATATATATATATATATATATATATATTATATTTATACATTTATTTTTAATATATATATAATAAAAATAAAAAATCGATAAATCAAACCAATGATTTTCTAAATCAGTAGTTATAAGTGATTGACTTCAATTAGATTTCGTTTATCGGTTTTCCAAAAACCAATACTGTTGATTCAATTTGAAAAATAAGTTAACAGTTCCTTTAACCGAAAGGTAAAGCACTCCTATTTCAAGATCGGCTTCCAGGACAAACCTGTACCCCACACCGTTTTAACGGTATTTCTTAATCTGTGTTGAGAATATCTCCCCATGAAATAAAGTAAGTAAGTACGGAAATATTCTCAATTCAATACAGTAAAAACTGCTTGAACGACTAGATGAATCAACTGCGAACAAAACACATTCCAACATCCTCCGTTGATCTTATACCCCACTTCTCATATTATGGTGGGCCCTACTCAGAGGGTGTTGGAACGCGATTTGTTGCAGGTAATTCCAATTTCCAACTCGATCCCGGCCTAGGGTTGGCAGCAAATGTGTTGTATCATTTAAAAACCTAGACGTAAAAGTTTCAAACCAACCAGCTTAACCAAGGTTTTAAAAATCGGATCGGACATAAAACCGTTTGTCACTGATATCTGTGTTGAACGGTCTGATCTTCGATGGCCCATTCAGATTTAAAAAATAAAAAATAACTAAAAATTATTGTCTGAATTGACGGTTCGATTGACTGATTCAGTGGGTGGCTGATCAAATCAACAATTTCTGGCTCACGAACAGTTTTTGGATGAAACGGAACTAGTTACCTGACTGTTCCCGGGTCAACCGGTCCGAAGGTCCTGTCCGGTTTTCAAAACCATGAGCTTAACTATTAGAAACTGTTGTTAATGTTGGTCGGAAACAGAGAAAATTGCGAAGTGTCCGTTTCATAAAAGAGGAGCGACAAAGAAGGAATTTAATAGAAAAGAACGACAGCGATAATACAATCATAACTGTTAAGTCTTGAACTAGAAGAAACAACGCCTCCAACTCTACTACTGAGGGTTGGGATGACGGCCGTTTGCTGAAGCGACCCTTGATCCCCATTCAAGCAACTCTTTGCTTGTATCATCTTTGTGCACAATTACCTCTATGAAGCACAAACAATCCTTCTTATCTCCCGTCGCCGTCTTGATCGCTTCCACAAGCTCCTCTTCATATCGAACCTGCATTAATTAATTCCCACATTCCAAACACATGGGGACAGTTAGTACTGGTTTAATTTCCCCTGGGTTTAATTTGTCTATATCATTAAAAAAAAAGAAAAACCTTGAATCCAGGCCAGTACTTCCCACCTTAGATGTCCAGCAATTCCCTTCACCGTTATGGATTGCATCAATAAGTCCGGTGTAGTCCCAGTTCTTGATAACATTGTAGGGACCGTCGTGGATCTCAACCTCTATGGTGTACCCTCCGTTGTTTATGACGAAGATGATACTTTTCTGCCCACAACGCAGCATTGTCGACACGTCCTGTGCTGTCATCTGCTCATCAAAAGTTTCCATAGTTGGTAACTTCGACAGAAATAACAGCTACAGTGAATTGTTTAGATGCCAGGTGCAGAGATACTGATAACACACACCCGGACCAGGAGCAAGCAATAGTTAGTTACCTGGAAGCTTCCGTCACCTATGCAAGCAATTACTCGCTTGTTGGGCACAGCCTGTGCATAACCGAGGGTTGCTCCCACAGACCATCCAATGGATCCATATTGCATCTGGAACTCATACCTGCAACATCCATCCATCCATTACTTGCATATTGTTAGACTTAGAGACAGACATGCATAATTATTAATATATATATATATATATATATATATATATATAGTCAAATACAATACAGTTATACAGAGGCAGATCTAACATAAAATCTCAGAGCTAGCGTTCGTCTGTGTCTATTTGCCTACCCGCAGCCCTCCGGCAACTTGAGTTTTTGGCAGTTAAACCAGGAGTCTCCTGTCTCTGCAATCACCGTCGTGTCACTTGACAGCATTTCCTGTATGTGCTTGAACAGAAGGTTAACCCGCAAAGGCTTTTGGGGCTCACATTCGGCAGGTTGGCCATGTGGCACAAAGATCCGGTGGTAGTTGTCGTATGCCGTTGTGTTGCGTGTTAGCTTCTGTGCGAGTTCCAGAAGGAAATCCTTCATCATAATGCACCCAAAAGCAGGGCCATTACCAATAATAACCCGATCAGGTTGAACAACGATCGACTTCTCCTTCTTGAGGAGCAGCGAATACCCAACTGAACTAAAGTCATTGAAAATGGGGCCTGCAAATAGGTAAGCATCTGCCGATTCCACAATCTCAGCGCAGAAGCTGGTGCTCACGGCACCCCAGTAAGTACCAATGAACCGAGGGTGGTGCTCTGGTACAAGCCCTTTAGCAGAAGGCATCACGGCAATAGCATAACCACAGGCATCCGCAAGTTCAACAAAGGCATCAGTAGCCTTAGCCACCCGGAGCTTCGGCCCCCCCACCATGACGGGCTTTACTGCCTTGTTCAAGAACTCCACCGCGGCTTCAACTGCTGTTTGTAGACCCATTTTATTACTCAATCTGAACCATACCATTTCAGCAAATAAATGTACGTACGTTTAAATCAAATTGTGTCTATGATCTCCGCAACTGATCAAAGTAATCTTTTGATGATAATTAATTATTTATCAAGGGACTAGACGTAATTAATTACTTAGAATTATCATCAGGACTCAGGAGACGATATATATTGAAATTACCTGGGTGTCAGGGAGAATGGGATGGGATCACGACGAAAAGTAGGATAGGGGATTGCCGTCAAGTTGCAGCTGACGCTAATATAAACAGGTTTGCTTTCTTTCAAAGCCGTGGATATGGCTTTATCGATCAGTTCGTGAGAATCTTCCAAGTTATTCACTACTGCCTAGGATGCAGCAACACATAGTAACCTGATCATTAAATTTACTACAAAAGTCGTGGATATGGCTTTATCGATCAGGGTAGGATTACCTGGTAGCAGGTGACAGTCTGGAAACATCGAAGTTCTTGGCTGAAATCCGGCAAGCCAATGGTATGATGGATAATTCTGTTGGTGCCGTAGTCGTTAGAGTTGGGGCCTCCGACGATGCAAATGACGGGAAGATTCTCGCTATAAGCCCCGGCGATGGCGTTGATGACACTGAGACCACCAACGGTGAAGGTGACAACACAAGCCCCAACGCCACGGGAGCGGGCATAACCATCTGCAGCGTACCCAGCATTGAGCTCATTACAGCAGCCAATAAGGTTGAGGCCAGGCTGGGCAATGAGGTGGTCGAGAAGGATTAGGTTGAAATCACCGGGGACGGAGAAGACATCGGTGATACCGATCTCGACGAGCCTATGAGCGATGTGGCGGCCAAGTGTTGGCCCAGACGACGCAATCACGGAAGCGGGGCCGACGTTGATTTTGCTCTCCATTGTCGGCTGTGTCTTCTCTCAGGGAAATTAACAATTACAGAGAATCAGATGAGGACTGCCTTGGGCTTGGAGGGTTATATATACATGCATTGATTTAGGTAGTAAGTAGTTCGCGATCGTGAGACCTGGGACTGTGTTGGAGACGGTCAATGAAACACAGACACGACACGATTCCCTTATTTTGTTGGACGGTCGCAGGACTCGCAAGAAAATTCTGCGAGTGGAGCAGATGCAACCTCAGGGAATTGAAGAATACTAACGGAAAACAGTAGGTTCGAATTCGATGGAACTGCCTCCGGGAAAAGGGGTCATCGTCTTTCAGTTTCAGGCATGCAGTCATCACCATTGCAAAACCCCGGGGACATAGTACTTGCATGTATTATGTATATTCTGCAGACTGCAATTCATATATTCCATCTAAACGAGCCTCGTATAATCAATCTACTGGTGAGTCGTGGAATTTGTATTACTTACAGATTATTTTTCTTCCGACTTCCATTTCCTGTTCTTTTCGTACAGGGAATTAATTTGGATACTCCGGTGAACTGAACTGAACGATTATTCTGTTTTTCTTTTGGCGAGGATTGCAATTGGTGGTTGTTGTCACTGTTATTATTTGCTTTAAGCTTTGTTGTCATGTATGAATATATAGTTGGTATCGTTGATTCGTAGAACTCCACAGAAGAATTAAGATATCAGTTTAAATCTGTTTACCGAGATGCTCTTCACTTAACCCACTTGTGTCTTTGATAGCTTCTTAATTGATAATATATTAACAGAAAATGGGGTTTGTGTTAGATTTACGACTTGGGCTTAGCTATAAGCCTATAAGGTTGTGTTTGATTTGAAAGAAAAGGAGGTCCCTTTCCCTTCCTTTTTTTTTTTCAAACCAAATTTGAGAATCATATATATTGCAAAAAATGATTTTATGACCATAAATTTTTGCTCCTACTATCCAATTTAATTTGTATCAATCTGTCTCAATGTATTGGGTATTCGCAGTAAGAGGTTTCAAAATTGTCCATTTATATCCGAACAAATCTGGCCGGAATTCTTGAATATTGGATCATAGCTTTCATGAAAAATGAAGTTTAGAAATTAAACCGGATCCCTAGTAGGCTCTGGACAAGGTATTTGCATTGGGTGCTCAACTTCAGTTACAGGAGATGGGTTCAAGTTTTTGGTTCCTGTTTCCTATGACAACTGATGATAATATAGAATTCTTTTTGCACCAATTTCCCTTAGGTTGTGGACTGCCGCTAWAGATCAATATTTCTAACGGCAGTCCCCAACTAGCCCTTTCAAAAACAACAGCCGATAGAAATGTATTTTTTTGTAGTGAAATGTGTTTAGAGAAATGATGAAAGAAGAAAGGATCCTCATACTTCTGCATTTTAGAATGTAAAGTCTCATAAATTCCAAATAACATGATTCAATTTATGTTTAACAATTGATTCAATATGATAATTCCTTGGATAATGGTTTGAACTTAATCTAAAATTAAACAACAAACCATTTTTTTGTGTAAGTACACGAGGAGGAATCATTTTTTTATAATTTTACAAAAAAAAAGAAATTGTACAATCAATTCACATGTGATATTAGATGTGTGTTCCCTTTCCTCTTTTTTAATATTTTTGTTTTTTATTTTTTTTCCTAGAACTCCTACATTCTCTCTTCCACTCTATCATGTTTTTACTTCCTCAAGATTCACTCTTTTCTCTCCTACCTTTTCTCACACCCAAAGCTGTTTTTTCCTTGTAAAATTTTCTCTCTCATCCCTAAAATTTTGTTAGTCATACATGTACATACATATAATCTGATATATGTTTTAAAGAAAAGCCGGTCCACAGATAGCTAAAAACATTGTTAATATAGTATTTAGAAGTGTAAGTAAATTTTAATTATTTAAAATAAAACATACATAGATTAATTTGAGTCCCACACTCTCAAATTTGGTTAATTTCTTATTCGATTTAGAAAGCTCAAATTAATTAATTACAAAACAAAGTAATTGTAGATTGCTGATTATTCAAATAAAGAAACCCAGAATGAAGGCTTTCTAGAAACAAAATTATGAAGCTTTATCAGACCAAGGTTTAGCTTTCAAATAAAGGTGTCGATAGACGAGTTTTGGATTGAACCCCGTCCAGTCCAAATTCAATTTGAACGGATTGTACAAACCAATAAGACATATTGGATTGGACCAATCCAGTCCAAAATATTTTTTAAATTGGATTGGACCTGATCTGTCCGTAATAAATTTATATTGGATTAGATTGGATTAAGCCAATATCTAGTCCATTGATATAAGATAAAAATATAGGTGTCAATGGACCGGATTCGGGTTGAAATCAATCTAAATCAAAACGAACTTGAACAGATTGAATGGTTCAGACATTGAATTGGACTGGTCCAAATTAGTCCACAATATTCATTGGATTGAATTGAACCAGATCCATTTATAATGAATTCACATTGGACTCGATTGGATTGGACCAAATCCAGTTCAATTGACACCCCTACTTTCAAATACATGGTTAGCCTCCAACTTAGAAAAGGAATTAGGGGTAAATAAATTTTAACACAGAATCATTATATTTTTTTAATAACAAATTACATCTAAAATAAAAACCTTACTTCATCTATCAAAATATATATATATATATAGAAAACTCAAATAAAACCTAGCACAAGGCTTTCAATGAACCCATGAAAGCCTAATTTGAATTATTTACTACAAATCAAACCTAAACTTGATCTGCTGAACCAAATATTAATATAAAATCCAACCAAATTTACCACATGAACATGGATCCCAAATAAAAAATACGCAGAAATAGTTGCATCGTACCCAGTACTGGTAAGTATTTTTATATTTTTGTAGCAGTTTGTATTTTTATAACAATATACCCAAGTTTTAGTAGTTTTAAACTTGAAAATCGTCTGACATATGTAGTATGAGGATGTCATCTCAAGAAAATTCTATTTTTTAGGGGTTTTTACTGTTCAGTCCACCTTCAGAAATTTTAGCTCCACCGTACAGTTGGGGGTAAGTGCCAGTTCGGAATTGATGTCAATTCACGGGTGGATTTGGGTGTTATAGGTGTATAAGTGGAGGTGTTTATAATTTTGAATTGTTGTAATTCTTCAATTTAATTCAGAATTCTAAGGTAGGATGCAGTCTACTTATCTTTTTTTTTTTTTTTTAAATCTTGATAGGTTAGGAAAAAGACACAAAAAGCAAGGAACTACATCAATCTTGGGCTCTGCCCTAGTGACCTATACTACAAACTAGCGGAGCCCCAATATCCAATATGAAGACAAAAGGAATGAATGGAAATATAAACCTTTACATCATTTGTTGAAGGAAAAATGAAGATGCTAGAGAGAGAGGGGGGTTAATTTCTATTAATATATATATATATATAGAATATTAGGTTTTTAAAATATATAATTATATTATATATAATATATATTTTTTAATTTTAATTTCAACTTTTAAATGAAAATTTGAAATTTGATGCCAAAAAAATTTTTTTGACAGAAATAGTGGGGCAAGGTATCTTTAACACCTTGGGACAAATAGATTGTGAAAGGTTATCCCCCACCCCCTCCAAAAAAAAAATTCTGACCACTAAGCACAAAGTTATGACCTCCAAAAATTGGGATAGAAGCTAAAATAAATGAATAAAACCAACCGGTCTTTTGAAATCTGGATTGGTTTATTAGTTCCCCGATTGGCCAATTATGGCCAGTTTTACTAACTCCCAGCTTTTAGAGCCTAAGGCTGCATATGGAAGTGATGTAAATCAAGAACAATATAAAAATTTATGCCAGTTCGGTTTTATTGGCGTTTGGATGGAGTGTAAATGAAGATCGATGTAAAACTCCACTCCGGTTTAGATTTGTCAGCGTTTGGATGTAGTGGAGTTTATGTGGTGAATCAATTTAAAACCTCATCAAACATAAAGTTTTACATCAATTATCGATGTAAATACTACATTAATAAAATCAATATAAAGTTTTTCAATATATAACGATCACTTCCTCACGGTTCTGTGTAAAATGCCATTGATGTACTTTTACACCAATTCCAAATGAAGCCTAATTGAACTGGCCAATAGACCGATTAACAAATTTTTAAATCGGACTGACTGGCCTGGTCCAATTCTCTAAACACTACATGAAATAATAGCCGTCAGCATAGCTACATCCGGCAAAATATGAGTCATTGGGCCAAAAATACGGATTACTGTGGCAGAGCTGCCCCGGTGAATCAGTGGTCACACACCTCCAATGACAATTTTCGATTCACCTTCAATCCATATACTTTTATATCTGTTTTCGGCAATCTTGATCTCAAAAACTTTGGCAGCTGTACTTGGGGGCCAAGAGGGTAAACTTTGGCTGTTTTGATTAAACAGCCTAGGCAGTTTTTATTTGGGAGTATTGCACATGACACGTGGCCCCATTCAGTCCCCTATTTGTCTTTTAAATTAAAAATTAAGCATTCATTGCAATTACTCATTTACTCTTTTCTCCTATACCCATGCTAACATATCGTGCACAACTATACATGAAGTATTTTTTTCTTTTTTTTGATAATGATGATGTGCGATTTAGAAGCTCCTAGCTGGAAGATGACCTAGACTTTAGTCGTGTAGCGAGTTCGATCAAGCTGCAAGACAGAGGATTAGAGCACCCAGGGCGGTTAACTCGATGAGGTCGCTGCAATGCATAATTCAGTACTATGTCATGATTGCGAGCTAGAATTTGAGTGCTAGAGAGCTTGGATGAAAGTAATCGTGCGTACCTGGACCATGGAGGGATTGATGCCATTATATAGCTGAGCTATTGTGGGTTTCCCGGAACAGTTCCGAGATCTACGGTCTGAATGGACGATATCCATTTCTGCTTTAGTCGGGGAGTAACGTATCAGTCAATGAACCTTATTATCGCCGCCCGATTCGGACGGGGAGAAGATAAGGCTTGTCGTT